TTACAAATGCATTAAATACTTTTCTTTTAGTTACATTGCATTATATACTTTTCTTTGCTCAGCATCTTAATACAGTAGAACCAATCTGTGAAAAATGCATGTATTTTATGATTGGCTTTTTGCAAATATTCAAATGAATATTGTATGTGTTGTGTTAGAAAGTGATGCTGTGTCAATTCTCTTAAGTAGCGTGTTAAATATAGTTTTAGGTTGTAAAAATTGTTAAAATAGAAACTGTGCTATGTAGGATATTTTTTTAAAGAAAGGACTCACAGTGAGATAGCAGCCACAGGACACCTGAATCTGAATCTGAGAAAGAGAATTTATTGCTCCATTTTCAGAAAAAATGAACTTCTTCCCACCTCAGAGGTGCTGTCAGGATTGAGAGGAAGAAGCTGACACTGCCCAGACAGAATCCTGTGTTTGAATGGAATTTATGCATCATGGATGGGGTGTATGAATATGCAACAGGCTGTTGCTTTTAAGGGTTAATCCTCTGTTAACGTGGGTCCTTTTTCGGGCTTATTTTGCCCAGAAAAAGGTACCTGGACTGTCCATAACTCTTTGTATTTGTTGTCTCATATTGTCCTAATTCAAATTGTCCAAATTATTATTACTCTAATTGTATTACTGTTTTTATAACCATTTTATTACTATTAAACTTTTAAAATTTAAAAAAAAAAGTGATTGGCGTTTTTCACACAATCTATACCTTAACTTTTATCTATAGCCTATCATAACTACTATCATTACCATATTCATGTTACTGTTCTCCAGTCACTCAAAGTTGGCACATTACAGTTTAAGCTAGAAGTTGTTTTTCAGTTTTCTTGCAGTAGAAAATCCTGAGACCTTTTTTCTACTTGCCACATGTGCTGATTTGTTTGCCTGTGCTATCTTTCTGCTTGGTAAAAACATCTTGTTTGGGGTGGGTTTATCCTTTGCTCTAAGTCATAAAAACCCTTTCTAACTAACACACCTTTTGCCTTCTTGGTTATCCAGTAAAACTGGCTCAGCAATTCTTTTCTTCTCTATCAAAACTTGCTTCCATCTCTATTTCTTCATCAGACTCTACATTTAAAAATCTTTCTGCCAAGCACACATATCTGTGAGACCTTGTCAAACTTCCACCCTTCCCAACACACTGCACATGTCCAGACACCAGCTCATCATCCCAGAGCACCGTGGTGTCCCCTCAGCATGGCAGGGGAGAGCTCTGTCCCATCCCATCCCATCCCTGCTGCCCAGGGCACCTCCCTGCAGGAAAGGAGGGAGAGCAGGGACAGAGCCACTCCAGCCTGCTGCTGGCAATTCGGGAGGAAATTCAGCTTTCAGCCTCATTCCAGCTCCCCTCCCAGCAGCCTGACACCTCTGAGATTTGGGCAGGCAGCGTTTGCTGCCATCCTGAGCCTTGGCTCAGCCCTGCTCCCCCAGGAGCCTTTCCATGCTGCCAGAGAAATTAGTTCTGTGTTCCTCTAAACACCTCATTAGCTTCATTAGAGCTCCCACAGTGCTGCCATCCATCAGATGCTCAGGACCAAAGGCTCCTCACGAGCTCCAGCAGCACCTCTGGGCTCTTCCCACATTGGAAAAACAAACCCTGGAAGGAGATCCTGAAAACACAACAGCTCATCAGGGCTTCTGCAGGGGAACAGCATTCCCCGAGCAAACCCAAACTCAAATCCAGGCTTCAAAAATCAGCTTCAGCTCCAAGGAAGAGCTCAGCACCACATGGAGCAGAATTTCCCCCCCATCACCTGAGGACAAGCACAGCACAGGTGGGTGGACGGAAGGAAAGGAAGGGAGGAAGGAAAGGAAGGAAAGGAAGGGAGGGAAGGAAGTGGCGGAAGGAAGTGGCAGAAGGAAGGAAGGAAGTGGCGGAGGAAGGAAGGAAGGAAGTGGCGGAGGAAGGAAGGAAGGAAGGAAGTGGCGGAGGAAGGAAGTGGCGGAGGAAGGAAGGAAGGAAGGAAGNGTGTAGCAGGGCGTGGCCAGCGAGTTGTGCGTGGTGGTTTCCTTGGCGAAGCCGAAGTCGGTGAGTTTCAGCACGGCGTTGGGCCGCTTGGAGGTGTACAGGAGGTTCTCTGGCTGGGAACACACAGGGACAAGGAGTGAGCCATCAGTGAGGGTCACCCCAACACAGCTTTCCTGGGGAATATTCCTCCTGAGGTGTCCAGGATTTAGGCCTGTGCCTCAGCTTAGTGCTGAGCTCTGCTGTTGAACCCGGTCTGTGACCGTGTTCACAGGGGTCTGAGGATGAGGGAAGAGATGAGGATCTGACTCCATGTTTCAGAAGGCTTGATTTATTATTTTATTATATATATTATATTAAAACTATACTAAGAGAATGGAAGAAAGGATTTCATCAGAAGGCTAACAAAGAATAGAAAAAGAAGGAATGATAACAAAAGCTTCTGTCTCAGACAGAGTCTGAGCCAGCTGACTGTGATTGGCCATTAATTAGAAACAACTAACATAGGTTAATCAAAGATCTACTTGTTGTATTCCACAGCAGCAGATAACCATTGTTTACATTTTGTTCCTGAGTCCTCTCAGCTTCTCAGGAGAAAAAGTCCTAAGGAAAGGATTTTTCATAAAAGATGTCTGTGACACCGGTCCTCTTGGACCCACCTTGGGTCATAAGCAGGAAATCAGGGATATGGGATTGAGAGGAATGGTAGATTTGTCTTTACAAACAAGCTGTGGGGCTGCTGGTAGATAAAACCTCTGGAGCAGCTCCGCCCCTCGGAGCAGAGTGAGCAGGGGGATGTGGAAACACAACCCCACCCTGCAGGAAACAGCAGGTTTGGCCATTTTACCAAGATTTAGACAGAAAAGGTAAAAGAAAGAGGTACCCAGACTGTCTATAACTCTTTGTTGTTATTGTCTCATATTGAACTAAATCCTAATTGTCCAAATTTTTATTACTCTAATTATATTACTATTTTTATAACCATTTTATTACTATTAAACTTTTAACATTCTAAAAACAAGTGATTGGCGTTTTTCACACTACACTAAAAAGATACTACACTAAAGAAATGCTACAGAAAAACCCATGGCTGTCTCCAGACAGTCACANCTCTTCACATGAGAATGAAAATGGAATAAAAGCTTTTAAAACACCTCTCAGTTGCCCCATCTGTGGGTCAGAAAAGAGCAGAATCCAAGAGAAAAGCCATGGCATGTGGGAACCCAGCACATCCCTCTGGCTGTCCAGAATGACCAAAACCCCTGCCAGGGGGCTCAGAGACCCTGGCACAGAGCCCAAAACACCTCTGGGCTTGGTTATGACCCATGGAGCAAATTACCAACCTTAGATGAAGATCTGCAAGCCACAACAGTTTAGGTAGAATAATAATGAATTTATCACCATGTGAAAAAAGTAGATTTTGGGGTTTCTAGAATGGGGTTCAAGGGGCAAGATGGAGGGAACTGGGTGTGTCCAGCCTTTCTCCTTCTTCTTCTTGGCCTCCATCTTCTGCTGTGATGTTGGATGAATCCAGGACGACACCGCCAGGATTGAGAGGAAGAAGCTGACACTGCCCAGACAGAATCCTGGGTTTGAATGGAATTTATGCATTATGGATGAGGTGTATGAATATGCAACTGGCTTTTAAGGGTTAATCCTCTGTTAACGTGGGTCCTTTTGTGCTGCCCAGAAAAAGGTACCTGGACTGTCCATAACTCTTTGTTTCTATTGCCTCATATTGTCCTAATTCAAATTGTCCAAATTATTATTACTCTAATTGCATTATTATTTTTATATATATTACTATTATAGTTATATTTTATATATTACTATTATATTTATATTAATATATTGCTATTACATTTATATTTATAATGATATTTATAATGATATTTATATTTATATTTATATTTATAATGATATTTATAATGATATTTATATTTATATTTATATTTATATTTATATTTATATTTATATTTATATTTATATTTATATTTATATTTATATATTTGTGCATTACTATTATATTTATATTGTATTATTATATATTTTTATATTGCTATTATATATTTATATATTACTATTAAACTTTTAAAATTTTACAAACAAGTGATTGGCGTTTTTCACACTTCCAAAGAAGGGCTCCTCGGAGATCCAACTCTGCATTATTTCAGACAGAAAACGCTGCATTTCCTGCCTGCTCCTGCTGGAGAGGAGGGCAGTAACCGGATCCCTGTGTTACACAAGTGTCCCCGGGCAGGGCACAAGGGCAGCGCTGGCTGCAGAGCAAGCTCTGCCACCAACTCTGAGCAAACCGGGCAGGAATCAGAGCTGCATCCCCTTGTTGGNGGGTGTGGGCTCATACCCCGTTCTGTGAAGGCCTGGTCTCCCCTGTCCTGGATGCGGCTGAAGAGCTCCCCACCATCCAAGCTGCAAGAGAGGAGATGCTGTTACACACCTTGGCTTGTTGAATTTGTAGGCAACTTCCACATGGGAAGAGATGAGAATCTTGACTCCATGTTTCAGAAGGCTGATTTATTATTTTATTATATATATTATATAAAATTATATGTTATATTAAAATATTTTATATAAAATATATAAATATATAATGATATATTTATATAAAATATATTATATAAATTATATATTATATTAAATATAAATTATATAATTATATAATTATTTAAATTATATGTTATATAAAGTTGTATATTATATTAAAATATATATTATATAAAATCATATATTAAAAATACACTAAAAGAATAGAAGAAAGGATTTCATCAGAAGGCTAGCAAGGAATAGAACAGAACGATGATAAAATCTGGTGACTGACCAGAGAGTCCAAGACAGCCGGACTGTGATTGGCCATTAATTAAAAACAACTACATGAGACCAATCACAGATGCACCTGTTGCATTCCACAGAAGCAGATAATCATTGTTTACATTTAATTTCTGAGGCCTCTCAGCTTCTCAGGAGAAAAAATCCTAGCAAAAGGATTTTTCACAAAATATATCCATGACAGTGGCTCCATCCCACCAAACCCTCTGCTGCTGAGCAGGAATCAATCCCCTTCTCCATCCAAGACCTTGGGTGATGTTTTGGGGCACTTCAGAGCCTCCTCCTTCCCGAAAGGAGCAGGGCAGAGGCTCAGAGCTGGGCGGGCGTGGCCGCCCCAGCAGCCACAAAAACACATTTACAGTAAAGGCAGCAAATGTGGCTTGAAATTGGTGAGAGCACTCCCAGCACACGTGGCCTCCTTTTGCTCACGAGCCAACTGCCTCAGCAGCACCATGACCCAGCACAGAAGTGCTGAGCAAAGCTCAGGGTGAGGCACCAGCAGTGTCACAAAGAGCTCCCCAAGCTGGGGCACAGAGGCTGGACCCCCCTGCAGCACGGCCAGGTCCCATGGAGGTGCTGGAGAACCACTGGTGGGTTCCCTCCCCAGGTACCCTCAGGGGAAATGCAGCTCCCACAGAGCTCAGGACTGAGGTGTGGGAGAATTCTCCCTGAGAGCAGGGATAATGGCACTTCCTGGCCCTGCCTTATCTGCCTGAAGCAGGAACAGTTTGGCTTTCTCAGCGCTGATAGCATCTCCCTGACATTCAGTGACATCTGCAGCAGCAATAGCCTGCAGCCCCTGGGACCCTGTGCTGCACAGAGCCTGTCAGGATGGATCCAGAGCCAGGAAGGAGGGATCCAGAGCAGTCAGGAGGGATCCAGAGCAGTCAGGAGGGATAGAGAGAAGGATAGAGAGAAATCAGGAGGGGTTCAGAGCCTGTCAGGATGGATCCAGAGCAGTCAAGAGGGATCCAGAGCCTGTGAGGATGGATCCAGAGCCTGAGAGTATGAATCCAGAGCAGTCAGGAGGGATCCAGAGCCTCAAAACATGGATCTAGATCAGTCAGGAGGGATCCAGAGCAGTCAGGATGGATCCAGAACCTTTCAGGAGGGATCCAGAGTCTCAGAACATGGATCTAGAGCCTGTCAGGAGGGATCCAGAGCCTCCAAACATGGATCTAGTGCAGTCAGGAGGGATCCAGAGCCTGTCAGGACGGATCCAGAACCTTTCAGAAGGGATCCAGAGTCTCAGAACATGGATCTAGAGTAGTCAGGACGGATCCAGAGCTTGTCAGGAGGGATCCAGAACCTCAAAACATGGATCTAGAGCAGTCAGGAGGGATCCAGAGCCTGTCAGGAGGGATCCAGAGCCTCCAAACATGGATCTAGTGCAGTCAGGAGGGATCCAGAGCCCGTCAGAAGGGATCCAGAGCCTGTCAGGAGGGATCTAGAGCCTGCTCCTCTGAAAATCAAAACCTGCCTTGCAATGGAAGTTACTCCACAGCATCCCTTGTTCACACAGACAATCCTGGGGACTCTCCTCCCACCCCTCAGCCATTCTTTCTTTCTCTCCCCACTGCCTTCCCCTTGCCCATGCCTGGCTGCCCAGAGTGCCAGGGTGGTTCTCAGTGCCTGTTTCGCCACAGGAGCTGCTCTGGGGGTGCTGTGCCACGTGCCCTGGCACCGCTCCTGCACCCGCTGCCCCCCCGGGCGATCTGCCAGCTTGCCAGGGGAGAGGTTTTGGCAAGGAAGCTGCATCAAATCACAGCTGCGGTTGGGATGTGGTTTCAATACTTTCCCCTTCATCCCTCCTCCTCGTCCCCAGGTTCATACCAAGCTCCTACCCAAAGCAGAGTGGCTGCTGCTGCTGCTGCTGCAGGCAGTGCCAGGGCGGCACCAGCGCTGCCAGCTCGGGCACTGCCTCACCACAGCCTGCCAGGAACCTGCCAGGAACCTCCCCCAGCTTTTGGTGGCCAAAGGCAGTTTGGTTATGACCCACCTGTGAGAACCACAGGCCTTGAGCTGAGCGTTTTCAGGATGACTCAGAGCCAGCAGCCCTGGCTGTCCCCGTCCCTCCAACACCACCGTGCCATCCCCCTGGCATCCCCAGGGCTGGAAAGTGCCCACCCCCCTCTGGCAGCCCCCCAGCACCCTGCAGTGCCCTCGGGCCGGGCTCTCACCACTCCATGACGATGAGCAGACACTTCCTCCCCTGGTAGAGGTTCTCGTAGACGTCCATGATGCGCACGATGTGCGCACACTGCGACGCTCGCCAGTGCAGCTCCACCTCCCTGCGGGCCTTGGGGCAGTCCTGCAGCATCTGCGGGAGAAGGGACATGCTGTGAGCCCCGAGACACCCCCGGGCAGCAGGGTCGTGACCCCCGGGTGGCTCCGTGACACGGGGACGAGCACCGGGTGCTCCCTGAGGGCGCACGGAGCGCTCTGACAATGCCTCCATCCCCATCTAGTGGGAACTCTGAGAAGCCGTTTGCCCTCGGCTTGCCCTTCCTGCCAAGGTTCATAAAAGCTTATTCGGGCTCCCTGCCACCTCCCAGTGCCCCACCAGCGAGATCTGCTGCATTCAGGAGCCATTCTGCACGCTGATACCTCCATCACTGCACCCCTGGGTGCCACCGAGCATCCTCAGCCTCACCCTTGCTGTGCTGTCCCCCATCATTTCCCAGCCACCCACAAAAGCTCCCTCACCACAAATTCAGAGCCCACCAGCACCCATGCCTGGGGAAGGGACAAAGCAAATATCCAGATGTTCCCTAAATTACAGCTCTTTAATGAACCCCCTGCCCTTCCCAGAGACAACTCAGAGTTCCCAGGTGCAGGAAGGATTTGTTTGTCTGCCACAGCCTATTAGTTATGATGTTTGTCAGGATAAACAGCCAGCCTTAATTATTGTGTTCCTAAATATAGAACAACAAATGTGTCTATCTTGAGCCCAGCTCATTTTCCTTCCTGTCTCCAGCAGTTTTGGGGCCGGGCTCAGCCTCTGGAGCAGCTCTGTCCCTTGGAGCAGACTGAGCAGGGGGATGTGGACACACCCCCCCACCCTGCAGGAAACAGCAGCTTTGGTCATTTTACCAAGATTCAGACAGAAAAGTCATTTTACCCCTCTGAGCTCTCCCCAGGAGCAGAGGAGCATCAGCCCTGGGATGCTCTGCAGGATCAAGGTGGTTCTCAGTGCAAGGGGATCTCACAGGAACAAGGATTAACTCCCAAAATCCNCCCTGATCCCAGCTCTGAATGGAGCCATTATGGGCAGGGATGCTCAGATCTGCAAACCAAATCCCTGATCCCAGCTCTGAATGGAGCCATTATGGGCAGGGATCTGCAAACCAAATCCCTGATCCCAGCCATGGATGGAGCCAATCTGGGCAGGGATCTGCAAACCAAATCCCTGATCCCAGCCCTGAATGGAGCCATTCTGGGCAGGGATGCTCAGATCTGCAAACCAAACCCCTGATCCCCTTCTGCCTCTGCCAGGGCCTTCCATTCACACAGCACACACTGAAAGGGAAATAAGGAGCCAAGGGAAGGGCACAGATGTTCCCAGCCACACTCAACACCTTCACCTTCCCCCTCTGCAGGGCTGAGGGCTGGGGTCAGCCCCTCCTCTCCTTGTCAGATTTGCTATCAGAGCTGCCAGCAGCACGAAGGGAAAAGCACACATGTGCTTTTATGATAGGAAGTGGTTGTTATTTGCAGGTGTGATTAACACTGAAGTAAACACTGATGTAAACCATTAACTCAGGGCTGACCTATGGCCTTTGTGCTTCTAAAAAAACCCCTTATCACCAGCACTGCACGGCGCTGCCTCCCTGTACCCACAGCCAGGGGCTTCCCCTCATGTCAGAGGGACTCCAGAGCATCTCTCTGGGTTCTGGTCCCACCAGCCCTGGGGACAACCCTGCCTGACCTTCCTGCTGCCTCTGATCCCACTTGTGACCGTGCTCACAGGGGTTTTTGGATGAGGGG